AAGCTTTAGCAATATTTCATCCAGTTAGGATTTAGATCTACTTTAAAAAAAAAAAAATGATAAACCTAGATAAAAAGCAACTAAAATAAAAAAACAATCATTTTATTGTCAGAGGAAATCAGGTTAGAGAGAGTCAAGTCTTTGGATTCCAAACATTGTGTTGGCTAGTTCTAAAAGGATTCTGACAAAAGCAAAACTATATCCCAAAGTATCGTATAGCACAGTATCATCTCCATCAATCAGGAAGCAAGCTGTACTGAACTTGAATCCAATGTAATAACACTTTTGTTTAAATTTTATGTTTTGTGCAGGTAGAATACATTGTAAACCTCCCATCAAAACTCGGCCCTTTTCTTATTCCTCTCCGTCATCATCTACTCCTATTCGACGCTCTGTCAGCTGTCCCCGTTCTATTACTGCGCTCAATGCACCATCACCACATGTAGAGCAAAGACCCCTCTCATCGAAAGTCTCTGCACAAGTGTCAAGACCCTCTTCTGGAAACCGGACAAACTCTCTTAATCGCAGTTCATCGTCGCATAGAGTGCCACACACCGGTACCTGTGCCAGTATGTACCCAGCACTGGTGAGTGACTAATACAGAGGGATGAGTTTACCATAAAGAGAACCCGTGTATTGTATTAATGTACTTACTGTATTACATGACTAGGAAAATACTTTAATATTCATTAACCATGTAAATATCAACTATTGCATATGAATAATAGCTGGTTAAGACTTGCATCCAGCAGATGTTGGATCTTCTAGCAGACACATGATCCAGTGGTTTCAAAAATCTCTGAGCCCTTGTCCCAGAAGAAATATGCTGTGAAGAAGTTCTGACTACATCGCACTTTATTAAATATTTTACATGCCATTCCAGGCAACATCAGGCTCCATACTCCACAATCACATTTCAGGTGGCGGCTTGACTCCACCAATCAGTTGTACCAACAAGAATGTCCCACACCAAGATCCAAAAATATTTTCTCCCTTTTTTAAAATAACCAGCAGGAACAGGTTCTATTTAGACATGTTTGGCATTAGGCACAGTGGTTTCTGAAAGCTCTCTAGCAAACTAAAAGTTGTCCAGTTAAGTAGTAGTTAGTAAAATTCAACTGGACTTGAAATGATAAAGATGTTTCTACAGGCATTATTGACTGTCAAGGACATACCCCAGTGTTTAAAGCCAAATAAAAAAAGAAAACACTTATTCACCATAATCTAATTACCATAGAAAGTGTCTAGGTGGATGTTGATTGTCCATAAACAAGAAAGTTTGTAGAACCACCCTGTTCTAAATGCGTAATCCAATCACCATGGTGCAATGAATTTTGGGAGTTGGGGTTGAATTATGTAATTAGAACAGGGTCCACAAACCTTTATACTGCTCATCTTGTTCATGGACAATCAACATCTGCCATGACAAATTCCATGATGATTAAGGTGATTGAGTTAGTCGTGTGGCTATAAATACTAGGGTATGTTCCTGGCAATGATTAGAACTGAGGAAGCTGCTTGGATAAGCTTCAAAACATCTTCATCATTTTCAGAACCTTCATAAGTGTCCAGTTTGGGTCAGAGGTGTATTTAGTTCATGTGCTGCCCTAGGCAACACTAAAATTGGGGGCCTCCCCACCCCACCAGCACTCCACCGCCGCCACCCTGGCCTATCACCGCAATCCACTCCCCATCTCCCACCACGACCACCCGATACATGCACTAACCTGAACCTCAGGAATGAAAGGAGCAGCCGGGCATCCCCGCACCCTCCAGCAGCGCACAGCCTCCTCAGATCTCATGGCAGAAATGAGGCAGTACTTCACCAGGTCCCCATCCCTGCCAATTGTGTCCCTTCTTCCAGGGGGCAGCACCACTTCCCTGAAAATTTCCGCCCTAGGCAAGCGCCTTGTTTGTTTCACGGTAAATACGCCACTGGTTAGGGTTTAGATCAGTGGTGGTCAAGTCTCATGATATAGGAGGACTTAAATGCAGCCTCTGACTTTATCATCAGAGGACCACATAGAATATTTCCTAAATGTATTGTTACAGAACGCTGTCAGGGACTGAAAGCTTGCAACAGGAAATGGTCAAAGAGTACAGGCATTCCACATGAGATGGTCAGAGTCTGAGGATTTGCTATATGCTCCAGGGGATGGTCAGAGGCTGCAAACATGTTATAGGAGTTGTTGGAGACTAAGGACTAGCTTCAGGAGACAATCATATATTGGTGACACATTACAAGACCCAGCTAGAGTTTACGGCCATTACTGATCCTTTACAAATCAAGGTTTTCACATTTGTGCACCCTACAGCTCCTGTAAAAATTACTTGTGCCACATTTAATATTTCTCCCAGCAAGATCTATTATAAAAGATAAGAGGGAAAAAAAACATAAAAAGTGAAAATGGATGGACAGCACAGAAGGAGTAAGATGGTGTGAAGGAAATAAAGCAAGTAATTTAACCATTGGAAGCCAGAATAATTTCCTTTACTGGCCTGAGAAAGATCTTAGCTATGGAAAACACAGACTATGTCTGCAGGAACCCCGAGGACTGCACAATAAGTGCCAAAGGACTGCCTTTGGGCTGCAGATTAGGCACCAGGGAATTAGATCTACTTTGAAAATGTTTAACTCCTTGTGTAATGATGGTTTACTGTAAATTGTTTTCTTCAGAATGAGACCGGGTTGCATCACTTAACAAAAGACCAGGAGGAAGAACTAACCCGTCAGACCCTACTTGTTCTTCGAGACATGAGAATCAGGTTCCCAGGGAAGATGGATGAGGATGAAACATGCTCTATTATAGATGAAGTGAGTAGATTGTCTTTGCTGCATATTGCGGCCCAGAGCTATAATATTTAAGGCTTGCCAGCTACATACTGGATGCTGGATGCAGAATCAAGGAAAATTCATTTTCTATAGGGATGAATGGTAATATATAGAAAATGCACCAAAAAGGCATCACACTGTAAATGCACTGTGTGAAACATGCACAGGTGAAAATTTACCTGTCTGGACAAAAATATGCGAAATGCCATTGTCTTATTTTTGAAGCTAAAAGCTACAGAGCTGTCATTCCCACCCTTATCCAACTACGTAAGAGAAACTATGGGGAAAATCAAGAATTACGTATATAATGAAGTATGTCACACTAACATTTGTAATTTGGTTTTAATATCACCTTACAGTGACCTTGTCACCTCCGGGTCACTTTGTATGTAAAAGCATACCTATAATAGAAAAGGGAATGTACTTACCTTTCCAGTTACCTATAATGATATCACGTACTGGGCACACAAAAATCTGTATCTGGCGGCCATGTTGTTCAAGAATCATAGGTTGGCCTTGACGGTTTTGTAGAACAGTTACATACTGCAGCAGCAAATACCTAGGAATGCATCTCCAAAGCCTGAACTTAGTCACATTTCAAAGAGCCTGTTACCTCAGCTTAGGAACATCAGACACCAGTACACAGACCTATGCCAGAGCTGTAAATATCTAAGTGAAGTCCTGGCAGGATGTTAATTTCTGCTAACCACAAAAATCTACAGATCAACATTTCCCTCTGACCCATCGTAAAACAGTCACAAAATCCTGCATGGTTTGTACGGCGATAAAACACATTAGGGATACACTGTGTGCAGTAAAAGATTTTTAACCAGGGCTAATGGGCATCGTAAAGCAGTCAGGCTTGAGGCAATCTTTCCAAGACCTCTGCTCAGCTCACAATTTAACAAAAATCTACAAACAGTGCATAAAATCAGACAGAACCAAGACACATAAATATTAAGTATTGCAATAAAAAAAAATTTAGGGTTCCTCCTGCGCTTCTATATGGTGATCAATATGAAGATAAGTGGCCAACACTCTACCTTAAACCTTATAAGTAAATATGCAAATAATAATAGTGTAGCGCTAATACATAATAAATAAGAATTTATATACCATAATATGTGATAATAATTATTAATATGTAAATTAAATAAATAAACATGCAGATGCGCAAAACTATAGTGATATGATCCAATAAGGATCTAATTAGTGCCACAAAAAACGTAGTGCAAAGCAACGTGAAATGACAAACTGGTCCTCAATCAGGACCTCATGTTGTGAAAAATCAATGATAACATCAATATCCACCCTCCAAAATTATACCTACCAGGGATTTTACAAATAAAAAAGCACAAAGACTGGTGCAAAACATCCGTGAATCCCCAATTAGGGGATAAATCTCCTAACTAAAGTGACAAGTGCTTACATATAAAATGCAATCAAAAAACCTCAGTGACAAACTATTCCAATAACAAATATATCAAAAATTCATAAATGTCCACAACAAATATTAAATATAAGCCGTGATCCAATGAAAAAAATAAATATATGTATTCCATGCAGATGATGAGGTGAATTTACACCAATGGTGAAATCCTCAATGGCTAAAATGCCCACTCACCTCCTTGCTATGACCCACTGGGCCAGCACGCTTTCAGGATCACCCCAGGATCCTTCACAGGCAGTATCTGGTTACTGGATGGTATCCAGAAGTAATCCCCCTCACTGGTGGCAATTACGCTTCTCAGGTCCACTCCAGATAAAAGTATCCGCTACACAGCACAATCATGCAAGTAAATGGCTGCTCCCCAGTCTGTCCTGCACAGATATCTGGTTTCAGGTTCATGTTCAATATTAAGTATATAGTTGAATGGGGAAATCATACCAAACAAATCAAGATCATACATGACTAAGCTATAGAAGGTGAGATAGAAGTCCGATACCTCCTGGCTGACAGGCCTATCTGAGATACTCTGAGTTTTGCATCTCTGGACACAAAATTCAGTGCTGAACAATAATTTACCAGTTTCCAGAATGCAACCTGTACGTGTTTGAAGATATTACAATTGGTATAAAATTGTGGGAAAAGAAGGGCTGTGATACAGCCATAAACACAGTGACATCCCATGGCCACTCCTCAGCCACTTAGTTGGTCAAATGGTCTCTGTCAATACTCCTTTGCAGGGGCGGACTGACCATTTGGAAACTCGGGCACTGCCCGAGGGCCCCAGGGTCAGTAGGGGGCCCCATGAGATGCCCCTGGTACCTTTTTCATAGGCTTTTTTGAGTTTGGGCAAGGACACAGGGGCCCCATGATCCCTTATTCCCCGGGGCCCCATGAGTTGTCAGTCCGCCCCTGCCCCCTTGATACCAAAGAAAAGTGGACTGCAAACACATTTGACAGCTCTCGTGTACCATGAAACCTAGAAGGTTTCTGTCAAGTTATGAGAGCCCATCTATCACCTTTCTCATGGACTGAAGTCTGCTGGAAACAGGACTTGCAAATATTTTCATCTTCAACTCCTTTTTATTTCTCTGTTGCATTATTGTCTCTTTGTTTCTTTGTAAAATCTTTTTCTGTAAATATTTTACTTTGCACCATTTTTTACCTTTTCATTATTAAACCATATTTTGAAGGAGTTAAAACTGTCTCTAAATGCCCTAATGCAAATTTAAAGAATCCCTGTCTCTTGAAGGGCACTATTAACAGGATAAACCTCTGAATATATCTGTCTGTGGTGACAGTGTGTGTACAGACGTTTATTTTAAAATCATAATTGTTATTGATAATCTTGTGAAAATTTCCAGCTTTTTGGTAAAGCTCTTGGTGGCAGTTTAAAGGGTTAATTGCTTAGTTAACTTAAAGTGGAGCTCCACCCAGAAGGGGAAGTTTCGCTTTTAGGACTGCTCCCCCGCTCCCCATTAAGGATTGGCACCTTTGGGGGGCGGGTTCCCGAATTTGACAGGTACCCGTTCCCACTTCCTGTCTGATCACCTAGGCAATCGGAAGCGAAAGGTGTCCTCCCTCCCTCCATACCATTCATGAAGCCTAGCACTACTCGCGCATCCGCAGTGGGTACCGGCTGTGAAGCCGCAAGCTGTCACAGCCGTGCGCCCACACTGAAGATGCCGGCCTCCTGGAATACAGGACGGCTGGTGAAACGGGCTGCAGGGGACACACCGCGGGACCGAGGGACAGGTAAGTGGCTGTTTTTAAAAGTCAGCAGCTACAGTTTTTGTAGCTGCTGACTTATATTTTTTGACAGAGTGAGTGGAACTCCGCTTTAACCCAGTGACAATCACTCATAGGCTGCTGGAACCCTAGCTTGTGGTCCTGATAGCTGGAGAATCTTTGACCAGGGTGAGGCTGAGAGTGTCACTGTTGTGTATTTGTGACAGTGTGGTGTGAGATTGACCAGTCATTTGTCACAGTTGGTGAGAAGGTCAGTGGTCTGACACCGCATTCGTCATGCCTCTTATTTGTTGAAACACTGCCTCTTTGCTTCTCCCAGACTGCTGCAAGTATTCCACATTTCTGCCTGTATAGAATAAATGCTCCCCCACTGCATGCTGTGGTTTCTCCCATCATCCAATCTACAGGATTACGAGCCAGTGGGAGAAACCTTTGCATGAGGTGGGGGAAACAGGTATTTAACCCAACTGACTGGTCAAATACTTGAAGTGACTGGGAAGAAGAAAATAGGTGGAGTTTCAACAAACAGGCTGCTGGAAAAGTACATATTTTACCTCTTCTATTACAGGGAAGCTTTTACATACAGAGTGTCTTAGTACTGACAGGGTCAATTTAAAACCCAACTCTCTCAAACATAAAAAAAGCTCTCTCTCTGCAAAACTCAGGCAATCTCCAAAGCTATATCCCTCAGACACACCGCTCTGTGATTCAGCTCTGGTCCTTCAAGTGGATGTTTGGTCAGAAAATTAAGTCCTGCTAGATGACTTCATGTTGGCCCCTTTTGCAGTTATAGCTTTGTAAAGCATTAAGATAAGTGCCTATAGTGTGTAAAATCAAGTAATACACTGTCTCGCCTTTTTCTGCACATGCTCAGTTGCTAACTATTTTTGGCCCTGTATTGAAAATGTAGAGGCTGATCTGCTAACAGCCTACAGATTTACTGCTGTTCAGGGGCTCTGGGCTTCAGCAAAATGGCATCCTTCAGCAAGAAGAAATGGGAACAATGCTGAAGCAATTTACAACACACACTAATTTTGGTGCCATATTTAATAATGTGGAATGTACATATGTTCCTTGCTAAACAACATTATTTTTCATCAAGTTGTGATGGATAAAGTTCCACTTTCAGTGTCATTCAGCCCATTCCTGTCAGCCTATTCCATCAAAGACCTGCCCTCTGGGGGTAGGTCACCATGTTGGGCTTGATTTACCAGGGAATGCTGAAGGGAAGGGCCCAACATCATTAAAGTGGTTCTAAAGGCTAAATGTTTGTTACCTTAATGCATTCTATGCATTAAGGTAAAAAACCTTCTGGGTGCAGCTCCCCCCAGCCCCACCTTATACTTACCTGAACCCCATCTTGAGCAACAGCTCTCCTCATTGGCTCACACACCTGCTGCTGTCAATCACAACCAGTGAGGCAGTTAGGACAGAGAGTGGAGGCGGGGCTGAGCCACGATCTGTGTGTGAATGAACAAACAGAGTGCAGCTTGGGAGCGAGCCTGCTCGAATGCCCCCACAGCAAGAGGCTTTTTATTGGGGGGCACTCGACGGGGGGGGGGGGGGCAGGTCCACTGGTGGGGGACCCAAAAAGGAGAGGATCGGGGCTGCTCTGTGCAAAAACCATTGCACAGAGCAGGTAAGAATAACATGGTTGTTATTAAAAAAACATTATGTGAGGCCTTTCTCTGCAGAATTTAGGAGCTGCCAATAAAAAAAGGACACTTGACCTGGCCAAAAACCCCTGGAAAAAAGGTATGTATGCGGAATAAAAAAAAAAAAAAAGAAGATGATGGAAGATGCTCCAAGGGGGCAGGGACAGGATTTTTGGAGGAGCTAAAATTGAGCTTTATCGGTTAAAAAAAAATAAGCAAGTTCAGTGCTTCCTTTACTACCTGCCTCCTTTACAACATTTCCTCTTCTGTATTTTTATACTGTAAAGGGAAAACGTGAACTTGAAAAATTGAAAGAGAGCTAATTTCAGTTTAATAGACACAGTCAGGAGTTTCGGCCCTGTGTGTAGTGATTATAAAATGATTATGGGAATACACATTACATCCCGCTATCTCTCTGGCATGCCGTGTGATCAGAGGGGTTGCATACGACATATACAGAAGTATCGTTCCTGCTGTCTGGGGGAATTTTTGTGCCTCCTATAAAATGCTGAATGTGTGATTCAACTGGACTTTTTTTTTTTTCATTCGTTGCCACTTAAACATTCCGCAACCTCTATAATTAAGTTCAGATTAACCAAATGAACGCTCTCCCCAAACAAAACCATTTTAATTACACTTTTGTTACTAATGTCTGTATTCTTTCCGAGTGGCTCTTTTGTTGTTGAGAACGTTCACAAGGAACATGGGACCTTGTACAATTAAAATCCAGCTGAATCTTTTCTCTTGGATATAACCCTGCGCATATACTCTATTGCCCGCATTGTTAAGGGCCTGACGTTTCACAAAAAGTAAAAGAGAAAAGATTTATGTTCTATTTTTTACAACCTCTGGATGTTCTTCAAGAAAAGCTCTCAGCAGGCAATGAGATGCTTCTACTGCTGTGATCAAATAACTTACCATACGGATATGAGGAAACTATTTTCATAGTTTACAACGCTGGTGAAATGGACCTTGGAGACCATTTACATTCTAGGTAACGTTTACTCAATATGAATATTTCCCAGGCAGCCGTTACTGGTTGAGAAATCATTGGATGCGCACTCCAAAAGCCGTTGTGAGCAGAACGGTTTGTGGCTGCGGGGACCAGTAATGCGTTGCTCGATGCCTGGGGCGCTCAACGTTTTAACACCTCAAGAATATGCCTATAGGAAAAGAGGCTCATAAAATTGCAACTGCGATCAGTCTAGAACTGGACTTGTCCAAAAGCTTGGTGAACGTCTGTTTTACTGCCCGTCCAAGAGTAAAAGTTGCTGGCGTGAAAAACATACCAAACCACATTTGTGTGCATGACCGGAGTTTGCTAAGCCCCAAGGAACCATTTTGTTTATTTATTGGCATCGTTGCCAGTTCAGTACAACTTTGTGGGCCAAATACACAGTGTTCTTAGGCTGTTTTACTTTCTGCAGTTTATTAAAGTGGACCTCTCTAGTAACATTACAAGTCTGCATGAAAAATGCTTCCTGGCATGTCACAATATACGGCAAAAGTATCATTTTTCAAGAAAGCTGTAGGTTTTATCATTAGAAAGACATCTCCCTAGCCCTAGTCAAGTGACTTTGCCTGGCTGAGGCTGAAATTTTATATTATCTGCTGCAGGCAGGAGGAAGCATTTTCCCAGTCTCCTGTTTTCCCCATGACCAGATATAATCTGCCTCCACATATGGAATACCGATGCACATCCTCTCTTGGGCCACAACTTGGCATACTGCAAACATGTGGGCTAGGTGCAGCACGGTGTTGCGGGCAGTGAGCACACAAAGTCCAAATTTGCCAAAAGCAGTATATTGAAGGAAGGTTCAGCAAGTACAAACAATCCCGGTGGGAAGCACACCATCCGAAGCCACTTTTAAAACTATATAACAGCAATGGAGCATCGGTCTGAAGACCTGAAGATGTCGACAGCATTTTCCACAAGGAAGGGAATGGGACTTGGCTGGTCCATACCCAAGGGGAAGGCTTCCTGTTGGAGGTAGACATGGTCCCTGCTCTCTCTGTACTCCTCTGGAACCATTCCCTGTCTTTAAGCATGTTCCTAACAGGGGATCTGTCCCTAAGCTAGTCACTCACAAAAAGTGCGACAAGCCATGGAGCTGGAGTCTTACATGGACTTTGCCTGACCAAAGATGGGCACTAGAGTCACATAGGCACAAGCATCCAATCGGATAGTTACCCCCGTGTGACCGGGGAAACCATAGAGGAACCAAATTCCTCTCAACTTCCTGCACCATCTGCATTGCCGCTGAGTTTGAGCACCTGTAGTGGAAAATACAGGCTACAGTTGCCTACAAACATAACAAGAAATAAAAAGAAAACTGTCTAATATTTAAAGATCTCCATAATTCAGCAAGTGCTTATTGATATAAAATATGCAAGAGTAATCTCAAGTGGCTTTGTGGGTAAGTATGTTAATGTAAAACGCTTCAAGGTGCTTCTGAGCTGATCTTTTGATATTGGAAAGGATAATCTTCATTTTATATCTTAATATTTTACCTTTGTAG